GCTCCAGGTGTGAAATTCTGCCCCACTGAAATCAATGACTAAATTCCCATTTCCTAAAAAAAAGGGGGGGGGGCAACATTTCACCCCAGAAATATTAATCCACATTTGTACAAGTAGCAGTGATTCCAATTACAGAATTATATAAAAGAGAAATTATGTACCTGAAGAGTATCAGGAAGTCAGAGTGCCTTCACAGGAGACTCACATTTGAGTGAATTGTGCCAATAACCTAATTTGAATAGCTTCAGAGAATGCAAGCCTGCAGTGTCCATTCTGGCTTGTAATGCCGAAGTACCAGCTTAACCTGTGGGGGTGGGGGAAGGCTGTTACCAGGAGGCTTTTTGCTGGTTCATAAATTGAACTGAAAATTAAAAAAAAAAAAATACTGAAGAATATTCAACAGCAATTTCATATCCGCTGTCGGCCACATGCTGGTTCGTTCTCATTCTCTTCATTTCTGCCCTTTTCAGTCTTCACTTCATAGCTCCGTTCTGGTATCCAAAAGAATATTTTAGTCTCTGATAATGGCTTTCTTTATCTTGCACTCTTTAGTTGAACAGAATATACTGTAAATTACTGAGCATAAACGGATTAACAAGGGTTTCCTGAAGAAAAGTTATCCAGGCTACCACTAACAGTGTCATGAAAACCTCATCACTGGTAAATGGCCCATTTAATAAATAGCAAACAATTGCGGTCTCTAAAATTATTAGAGCATGTTGAAAGTCTATTATTATTAACACAGTTTGAATGTTAATTTTCAAATTTTTTTTAAAGAGATAGGAAGATGCTAATTTAATGCTCAGAAGCATCAAGAGCACCTATAGGAATAGTTTTTCCTGAGGTATTTCAAATGCTCTGTTTTTAAAAGGAAAAACAGCCTACCTGGAGCTGAATGTTTCTGCAAGGCTTAATTTCCCTGTGAAAGTATGCAGATGACACACAGATGTGCACACACCTTAACCAATCAAAAGAAGATAGGATCTATACAGAAATATGTATTCCCTCAAACCTGAGAGAAATGCTGCTGTAAAGGTGCATGGTTTTGTTCTATATTTTGCAGCCAATGCTGCATCCTACCATGTGGGAGCTGATATTATGGTTTACAGCTATATTCACAAATATTTTACTTTTAAACTAGTGAAAATAAAACACTTATACAACCTCCATTATTCAAGATTTTAATGTAATGGACAAAACAGAATCTAGGTCCAACCTCCACTCTTTTCCTATTTTCACTCAGCGAATGGATTTCTGTAAACTTTAAAACCACACCAGGTTTTGATGACCATTTTCATTACAAACATTAATTTTGTGTTTATTTTTTGAAGTAATCTTGTCAAGGCAGGACATTATCTCTTTCTGAGTTTGTGAAGTACCTACCATATTTTTGAGGTCTGCAAAACCAATAAATTGTGATACAATGGCATGGCCAGAATTTTACAGTGGCGGGGAGGGAACAGTATACTACCTAGCTGCAGCTTTATAAAAGATGGTTGAGCACATGGGCTCAGATTACCTTTTTGGATGGATTATTGATTAATGTTGTTTTTGCAAATGTATTCCAACAACTGTGAATTGTCAGAGCCATGCTAGATTTACTGATTGCCATATACAACAGATACACAGTGCAGTTGTGAATGAGTGCTTGAGCTCAATCCATTTATTGCATTTATGCCTTCAATGCTCTAACTCTCAAACACACTGAGATCCACTGATCGAATTCACAGCTCAGTCAATATCTTCTTTTCTATGCCTCTTCCATTTCTATAATCAATTCAGTAAAGTAGAGGAAATCCTCTCTGATGATGATGTGCAAGTAAGCTAAGAAAGGGATCATTCCTTTTATTCCTTTGTCAGTTCTTTAATCTCCCAGTCTTCCAATTGTTGATGTGTCTCATGAGGATCTCCTTTTTCTAACCTAGTAAGCTCAGTGAAGTCAATGTTCTATGGTTCTCCAAAACTCATCTCTATTAATAAATGCTCAGAAGAATCTCATGCAAGGTTCTATCATTCTGAGCGGTCAGTCTCTGACCACAAAATGGGGCTTCACAGTATTCCAGAGCAAGTATAGATATTGTACAGGAGCTGACTAGTCTTATCAGCCTTATTAAGACTGATTGAATAAGCTGACTGCAAATAACAAATCTTCCATTAATGCACACCAGGAAATCCTTTGCCAGATCTGTTTTCTTGTGTCAATTGGTCAGGTTTGTCAGTTGGCCTAGTTGTAAAATCGGATGCAACCTATCCTAAGCATTTCTTAAATGGGTTAGGTTTGCATTAGAGGGGCACTTATCAGATGCTATAGGACTCTGAATATGTCAAACTGGAATTTGGAGAGAAAGAGAGAGTGTGTGTCACATGAACCACAGCCCCTTTCTATGAAATAAATAGTTAACAATGTTGACAAATTGTTCTTCAGAATTAGTATTGAGATTTAAGGCCCCATTGAGATGAATAGGGGAGTTTAGATTTATTTTACAATAGTCTGCAGATTCTGGCAGCACAGCAGGTGTTACATTCAAAAGGTATATTTGCTATCATGATGGCTAGAAATATATTTTTTCAGTGAAAACCTTGTTTCTTCACATTCAGATGAGTAATAGGGAGAATCCACCCCTACATGGAGTTATCAGTGCCTCCGATGAAAGTCAAAGGAAGCCATATGGCTAACGTACCATGTAATTGTTAAAAATTGGAGTGTAAAATTTTGAAGATAATGGGATGAGTGGGCTGGAGAAAGTGAGATCCTTTGGAGCTTCTCTTTGTGTGTGTGTGTGTGCACGCAGACACGCATATGAAAATTTGTGTCTTACCCCTTCATGCTGATGAAGGCTGCCCATGGAGTCTCCAAGAGCCTTTAATACAACTTCCTAGGCTGTTGGAAGTGGTTGCTCAAGTAAGATGAGATGCCCTAAGCCTCACCATTTCAGTGCTCGGTGTGCTCCCTCTGCAGCACTCCATTTTGGCAAAGAAGTTTGTAGTTTTGTTTGTTTCGAACAACCTATTTCTGTGTGGAGATGTAGCATGTAAAAATAAATTCTAGCTTTTACAAAGTTTTCAGGAGTTTATTTCATCACAAGTCTGGCCTTGTCTAGATTTCAAATTGGCCCTGATTTTAGCAATCAGTAGCTAACAATTGAGATAGCAAACAAGGAAACCCATGATTTGTACTCAACCTAGGTTCAAGCAAAGGTAAGCTTCACTGGTATAAATCATTGCTTTCTCTGTCTACATGTGGTGGTTTGCCATTAATCACTGAAATTGGGAGTGGAGGGAGAGGTGGGATTGCCAGTGGAGACAAGACACGTAACTATTTAATGCACTGTAGAGGACTGATACTGTTAAATGTCATAGCCATAGAGGGTAAATATTATCAGAAGAACTGCAGCCATGACCAGCTCTCTCCTATTCTTCATGGAATACAGGAGGGGTTAGGCTGTGTGGGATGCCTAAATGTCAGCTTTTCCATCTACTACCATTTTAACTAGCTTAAATCCATAGGATCAAGATAACTGCTAAATGCAAACTGACAGTGACTATTCCTTCCAGGAAGCAAGGCTGGCTTGTGCAGCTGATGCGTAGCTAATGCAATAAATGTGGTGCTTGAATATCTGTTTAAGGAAGAAAACTATTTAATTTTAACCATTTTTTTCCCTTTCATAGAAGTAGGGATTTTTTACCTCAGATGAAAGGGAGAAAATTGCCATAAGTTGTCTTTAGTATTTTTGGGGTACTTGTTTTTCAGCATAAAAAGATTAAAGCTCTGGCACTGGTATAAGAGAAAGAGACTTATGGAAGTAGAGCTTTCCATTTAGGAAATCCCCTTGTGGTAGCTTCTTGCACTAATATGTTTATAATCTATAAAAATTTAATATTCTCACTTCACATAAAATGTTTTATAAGCACTTTTGAGCATATTCATTAGCAAAATGTGACAATTTCATTTAAATAGAGATTATTAGGATTTTTTTTACTCACTTTCTAAAGTCAATCTTTTTTGAGTGTGCATCCTGTGGTATTTTGGAATCCACAGTTAATTTCTCAAGGGCTTTAGATCGGTCTCCTTCCTTTCCCCCTGCCCTTCCACACACACAAGCACACAGAGGAAAGGCAACGGAGACTGATATTTTCCTAGAATGAAAGACAAAAAATATATGTTAAAAAATGTGCATTCCAGAAAAAATATATCAGCAGTTCCAGTCAGAATTTTCAAAGCAAAACAAAAAATATCTTAGGCCACATAAACTGATCTACTTAATACTTGCATAAACTAACCTTATGCTCCCTGCCTGAGTTTAGTCACACATTTGGGCATACCTCAGAAAATTAATGTGTTTTTATAGATGATATGCTATATAATGAAAAGCATATATATACAAGATAAATGTGCATTTTCACTCCTGAGATCCGTTGCAGTCTGAACCCTACTGGACATTACAAATGATATCTACACATTGGCTCATTAAAGTTACTTAATGAACAGTTGCAGCTTTGTTTGATACAGATTTTGATTATTCAGTGATTATAAACAGCAATTTAGGGAAGCTGACAGGTAGCTATTCCCCTCACATTTTTATATTATTTACCGTTCCAGAGGACACATTGGGCATAAAATATTCCATATAAAGGAAGAAAAGTCTGTCATTTCTATAACCCAGTTAATCTGCTGAGGTATAAGAAAAATCTTGAGAACAAAATTTTGGCTGATTTTTACATCTTTAGTCCATTTGGAAAGTTACATTTTGATCCATTTGTCAGTACTGTGTTTATCACTGATCATGCTGTGTCCTCCAAAAACAAAATAATAACAAAACAGTCTGGATAAAATTTCTTTTCTCTCTCAATTGCTTAGGTTTCAATCTCTTTGTGATGTTATATTCTCATTGTTATAATATCTGTGTTTCCAAATATATGTATAGCATATATAGCATCCTCTAGGAAATAGAGTAGACAAGATTTTTTTTATTAGTAAAATAAAAAACAAGGAGAAAAAAGGCTTTTGATAAAAACATAGTCTCCTTTTAAAACATTAATACATTTTTCCCTTTTGCAAAAGATCTTTACAACCCATGTGTTCAGTAACTAATTCCATTTTATATTTCCCATCTATCATCATATTTTTGTATCGCCTGTTCCAGACTCAGGCCTCAGAAGTATTAGCTGTTCCAGGTAGGCAATATGTCACTTGTTTGGCTCCTCTTCCCTTTGCTTCAGCAACATGAACACTAACAGTGCTACACAAATACTATTAATCAGGAGTAACAATAATCCCTTTAAAATCTTACATTTAATAACAATTGAAATTACTGTGCTGAGGACTTAATTTCATGGGTTAAGGGATTAAGAACCATCTTCAAAGGTGGCCAGTGGGTAATTTGAAGGATTACAGAGTATGTGGCTATATGCAGACAGGGAAATAGAGCTGGTGTCTGGAGGCCTTCTAGATAGGTTTTATAGGACAAAAGTCCAGCAAATTTTATTTTAGAAAACCTGGTCTTTTGGTATAGAAAACCTGGTCTCTTTCCTGCTTTAAAAATAAGGTTTTTTTTCCCCACTACTGTTCCATCCTCTTCATAAATGCATCAGTAATAGGGAGTAGGAGTAGTTCTTCACTCTGTTGTATTTGAATATGTAGGCATGCTCATCTTGAGTGTTTCCATTTTATTGGTAATTACAGCATATATTGCATGTTCTTTCCCAGGTGTATAATGGAGAGCTGATCATTTATGCTCAGAAGAAATAATATTCAGAGAATCACAGGAAAACATACCTTCTGTGCTGCTCTATGTAAGATCACTATTATAGATAGGATGTTTTTGTTTAATAGACATGCTGCTTTGGTTTACACTTTTGAGCATACTAAAGTACATCTTAGAAGAAACCATTTACTTAAATAGCTTACATGACAGGGAAGTATATGAGAGTTGATGGAAATCAATACAAAAAGAGACATTACTATTTCAAGGCTTTTGGGAGAGATGTATAGACGAGGTGGTTAATTGGTTTCAAATGGCATCATTTCAGCAGAGTTCACAGACATTCAGTAGTAGGTACTTTCAACCTGCTGTAACTCCACTTGACTTTCCATCTGTTTTCTTTGGTGGACCTAGAAAAGGATGACATTAATATTAATTGTGTAGTGGGCAATCTTTTACAAACCTGATTCCTTTTAATGCCTTCAGATGAGCCGGTTACTTGGTGACAAGTTAAGTGTCACTAAAAAGTATCATGTCTTTTTTATAAGAAATACTTAATGGCCAAATTTTCAGAAATAGCTAGCTGGAAATTATGGATGCCACAAAGTTGGGTTCTCAACTTGATGCTTTAAAGGTGCTTGATTTTCATAAAGCGCTGAACACCTGCCCTCTGAAAAATCAGGCCCCTTTAAGGATTTTCAAGCACTAGACAATTTAGGCACAAGAAATCACCAGTCGTTTTTGAAAATCCTAGGTTTATAAGTTAATAGTATGCCTAACTGCATTTTTTCTGCTTCTGTTTCTCTGCATTCCAATCAAATTGTAATTAAACACTGTCTACAAAGAGAACAAAATGGCATGTGTCTGAGGACAGCAGTTCAGGTTTCTGAAGTTCAATTGACACTTGCTGTACGTACTACTTAGTAGCTGGATTTGGCGATGGTTCTCTCAGAAAGACTGAACTAAATTAGCATGGAAAATGACACACTTTGATTCTGCTACAGGGGTTCTGCCTGCCTTGAACACAGTTTAAGTGGCAGAACAGTGTAGGAATGCCCGCAGTGTAGCTGCCAACTTCAGGCATGTCAGTTCCACAGCCATTAAACTGACATCCTCATGGATGTTATTTATAACTATATTAGGACAGCAAATCCAGTATTGAGGTAAATAGATTTTATTGGAAGGAATTCAGTGGAAAGCTTTTAGGTATACAAGCTGGGAACAAGCTATAGTTTGTTAAATCCTATGCTGGGGCAAAGATGAAAGTTGCGTTAGGAGCCAAAAAGACATTGAAACCTAAAGGAGTACTTGTTCTCCCAAAGCATCTATTTAACAAACAAAAAAAAAAAAGGAAAATAATTTTAGAAAGAATGGATTTTTTTAGTCCAAAATATTAAATTTTGGATTCATAACAGATGAAGTTTCTTGGTTTTGTCATTTATTAAACTTTTCCAATAATCTTAAAAATGTAAAGCCATTCTGGAGCTTTAGGATAAAATATATTTAGATTATATGCAGTAAAATCAATTTAAAAATAATCTGATGGCATAATTGCAGGTTAATTTTAAAATTAAGATTTTTTTTTTGTTCAAAAATATTTTGTTAAACTAGAGCATTTACCACGGAAATATGTGATAGCGAAGGATTACGTTCTACCCCATAACTAATAAAGAAAAAATATCAACAACCATTCAAATCTTTGAATCCTGCCACTGAGAATAGGATTGTTACTAACTATCTATTTCACACTTACTGGACCAAGGAGATATTTTCTCCCTCTGACCATAAAAAAGGATATTTGTTGATGACAAAAATAATAAGATATGCATAATTCTTCACCAATATGGAGAATTAATCACAAATTGCCACCTGCCTATCCATTATCAGACAGCAGTTTCTTGTAGGGGCTTGAAGGTGCCTTAACAAATTTAGACTGGAAGCTTTTTCTGCTTGAAAGGGCTGGCACAGAAGAAAATGCTAACCCATTTGCCAGAGAATTAGAGGCAGGTGAGGCTGGCATCCCTAAGGTCTAACTACTTAATGAAGAGTTCGTAATATGATTAGCTTGCTGGATGGGGAATGAAAACAAGACACCTTTATGTAATGGCTGCAAGCAAAATAATATCCCATTGCTCAAATAGGTTTGAATGTTTGTGGTTAGTTCCTTCCTGGGCTAAACATCAGTTTGGCTTATGACCTTTTTTCAATTGACGGTTTGAATCCCATACAAATATTGAGAGTGGCCTGAGCATTTTGGGACAGTGCTAACCATGTGAGTTGAACCAAAATGATTATACCTGTCACCTTACAGAAGAGAGAGCAAGCTTTTCCCCCCTTGATACAGATTCTCATGTGGCTTGTGATTGTGAGATTCCCAAGGAGTTCCTAGAAGCTGCTTCATTGTTTATATAACAATAATACTTTTTTAAAAGCCCCTGTTAATCCTATGGGAAGTGCAAGCATGTGGTTGTATGCCTTGCTTGCCTAAACTCATGCAATTCTATTAATTTCAACAAATCTGTTCATGCCACTTGGGAATTTGGCCTAATATACCCACATAGTATGTCTCGTTACTCAGTGTTACAGTATGTGAAAGGTGATAATATTTTTATGAAAGGGAATTTGTGCTGTGAGAGCCTTGACAATGAGTACCAGAACCTCAGGTAGTGTAAACCAACACAGCTCCATGGATTTCAATGGAATTACACCGATTTACAACAGATGAGGTTCTGGGCCTATTTCCTGAACTGTGTGAATTTTAAACTTTACACGTAATCCATCAGTAACACACATTTTTTGCTATCATTATTTCTCTCTAAAGGAAATGAAACGTTCCCCATCCAGAGGCCAATCTTAATGCCTATCTGTCCCACACAGGGACCCTATGAGGACATTACCTCACAGCTGGTTTTGTGTGTTTTGAAGGAAAGGAAGAGGCAGTTAGTTTCCACCACATAGCTGTCCATTCTGTCAGCAGTTTCTATACCCAGTTTTTCAGATTGCAAAGCTCTAGAGACTATAGTTTTTCGGATTTTGTTTTTGCTGCATTGAGCCTATGGTTCAGTATTCATTGCATGTCTTCTAATTTTTATCTTGTATTGAATTTTTAAAAGCAAGCCTGTTTTTGTAAAATCTTGCAGTTCTATATGCTAACATTCACAGCTCTGCATAGGAATTGGCATACTGTTCTATGGTCTCCTTACTCTGCTGGAGATAGAGATCTGTATGACAGTGAATTGGCTGCAACTTGGCCAAAATAAAACTAGAGCAGTGTTTTCTGACAGAAGTAAGCATTAAGAAGAATTAGTAAAGGCAGTCTACATGCCATATATTCAAGCAGACTGACAAGATAGCTTGCAGTGCCTGGATCATATTAATTCCATTACTGCTTCAGGATTCCTAGGCAGAAATGGTGGTCCACGGTGCATTTTTTTTCCACATATGGCCAGATAAGGGTTGCAATTTTCTTCAATTGAGAAGTGTTGTAATGGTCATCCTCTCCTTTTTCTCTTTGTTTAGTCTACTGTAATTCACTCTAAATAGCAATGCCATTTAAAACCATCCAGGAGCTTCAGCTAGTGCACAAACTGCGTGCTAGCCTTCTATGCTCTTACACACATGATATCTCAGAGTTCTGTACTAACTTCCATTTGACTTACAGGTGTCATTCAAGATATCAGAGACAATCTCTTTAAGCCTTGAATTATGTGGTACCTGAGAGATTGCCTCTCATGATAAAATAACCTATAAACAAAAGTTATACTCAGTTGGGATGCTCTTGATGTCAGTCCCTGAAGTTGCATTCTCTAGGTTTATTAGCAGAGCTCTCTCTGTAACATCACTTTTGCCTTTTTGATTTTGGTTAAAGGAGCCTGAATAGAGAAACCCACTTCCTAAAAGTTACCCTATTCTCAGTAAGGGAATGGATTTTTACACAAATTCAGCGATAGTCAATGGAATTTACCCCGCCAGACAGAGGGAATTCTATAGAGTTAGTACTGTGGGGGACTTGAAAGTACAAAATAAAACTAATTGGTTTGTTCTGGTTTGCTATTTTATCTTTTTGGTCCTTGCAGTTTGGATATATTGTGTATTGAGTTGTTTTTGTGCTACTTACTAAGAGTAGCATAATATTTTTATTTAGTTAGTTAGTTACATATTTTGTATCACAGTGCTTAGATGCTCATGAAATAGTTTCTATCAAAGTTTAAGAACATAACTTAATCCAGGCTCTCAGGTCAGTTGTCAGTGGTTAAACATCCTCACTAGGTCTGGCAAATGCATTTCTACTTTGAAAAGTTTCAAAGAGAGAATTTTACACAAGCACACTCATAGAATCCTGAACTCTAACACCAACCTGAAGAAATTTATAATTTCATTTGGTAATCAAATTATTAAAAAAGCAAACTCATATATATGGCCAATGCACAATTTTCAACTATTTATAACTTTTTACATTTGTAAGCCAAACATCTTCACATATTTCAAGAATACCTCTCTTTACTGCACTTCTCTTTTATACTATTGTATTTCTCTTTAAAGTCTAGGGCAAGTTGCCAAAAGAGCCCTTCCACTTTGATTGAAATTCACCACAGTGCATGGGGGTAGCACAAAGTACATACACTATTTAAACCCTCAAAATAGGCCTTAAGGCACATAGGCCTTCTGCTGGGCCTCCACATAGGGATGAATTTCACTCTGTCTACATTTGGAGCAAGGGGTATGATTACCCAGCTCGCATAGACATACTCATATTAGTGTTCATAGTACTAGCACTCTAAAATTAGTAGTGTTGGGGAGGTAGCCATGCCCAGTATGTACCTACCCATGGGGCCCAGGCAGGTTTGTGCTCAGCACAGTACAGCTAACCTGTTCTGCCATTCACCACTGCCCATGCTACTCCTGCTACATTTATTTTTAGAGCACTAGCTCAACAACAGCTAGCACAAGGGTCTGAATGGGAGCTGGGAATCCCGCTCCAAATGTAGACCTAGTCTTAAAGGGTTCCATTCCTTATCTATGTTCAATACTCAAATGGAATAAATCCCATACTCACTGTTGCTCTCAAAAACAGTGAGTTTTTGCTTAAACTTTCAAAACAATATTCAGCTGAAATATCAGGTGAAAGTGTAAAAGTTACAAGTAACAGAAAAAGTGCCTTCATATTGGGGCTACTTAGGCAGCCTTAAATATCACTGTTGCTATGTGATCCAACTATAATTCTATTAGCAATAAGACACTGCAGGGAGTGTATTTCCAGGCAATTATTATACTTGGATGATTAAAGTAATTCTAGATATGACTTTGTTCCTTATAACACGACAAGGGATGTTTTATAATCACACAGAAACACTCCCTCTTTCATGGTATTGATTAATTATAAAACGCATACAATAAATGGAGTATCATG